ACCTTGGACAAATCTCTCATTTACTATGGACCTTGATTTTCCCCATACCTTCCCTTTTGCCTGGGTGCAGGTACTTGGTGCTTGGTAGTTATGGGAGCATCAGCTGGTTGGCTCAAGGGTAGATTCTAAGAGAAGTGTCCAGGCTGGAGAAAGATTCGAGGCTACAGCTCAGTGAGGGGACGAGGGAGGCCCCTGTTGGTGTGAGCAGTGGCCTGCATCTCTTACCAATGGAGAAGGGCACAAAAGCATCACTCTCCTTAAACTGCCCCTTCTCATCCAGGAAGTGCTGGGGATTGAAATCTCGGGGTTTGAAGAAGAGCTTGGGGTCGGTGAGCACAGAGCCCAGCATAGGAAACACTTCGGTGCCCTGGTAGGGAGGAGGAAGGTGTATTTGTTAAGGCAGGTTCAAGGATTGGTGTGCTCAAAATATACAGGAGACAAAGGAGGGAGTTTCGGTGCCCGAGGAGAAGAGAAATGGGAGAGATGGGAGCTGAGGTCATCTAAGGGAGGGGCTTTGGGGCAAACAAGGTTCATGTCCCTAAGACAGGAAGTTTGGGGACATGGGGTTGATTCCCCTGAAGCAAAAAGTCTGGGGGAGACATGGGATTCAGCAGCCTCTGAGTGGGAATGTTGAAAGGACATGATTGTTGGGGAAGACTTTGATGGAGGGACTGGAACAGGGGTTAGAGAACTACTCATGAGGATGGGGTGCTGGGACCATAAGGAGTGGATTGGAGGTCCTTCTATGTTGCTCCATGAATTAATAAAAACGTGTTTGCAGACAGGATTTGTCTTAGGAGTTTTTCAAAGCTTTGCCCTGAAGGAATATGTGAATGTGTTGGTTTGCATTTCAAATGCTGTTACACTCAGAAGGGCGTCTCTGAAAGACAGTAGCGGCTGTATCCCACAAGGCGCCACATTTCTCAGACCTAAGGGTTTGGATTTGCTTTGTAAAGCAAAGTGAATCTGTTAAAAACTGCAGGATCAGAGCTGACAATGGAGTGCCCCCCGGAACAGACAGCTGCCCGAATGGCTAGAAGCAAAGCTCTTGTTTGAACACTCCACACTACCTGTCTCCATTCACAATAACCTAATAAATATGGAGCCAACATATCTCTGTTTAACCCCTCTGTTAAGTGATAAATTTACCTTACAACTTAGAAGTTAACCTTTGAAAGATTTTATAACCATTTGTTCACATAGATAGAATTAGTTAAAGGATCTATACAAACATTTTGAAAATCTGTTAACCTTAGAGGAACTACCTGTTGTTATGTAAATCTGTTACCCCTGGCAATTAATCACTGTTCCCTACAAGTTACCATGTAAGACCTCATTCGGGGCTTTTTGAGACCCATGGAGAAGGTCTAGGCCCCCTGAGATCCCACTTTGCCTATGATCTTTATAAACTTATAAAACTATATCTTTGTCTCTGTGTATTCTTTTATTTCTTTTAATTTCCCTTTTTCTCTATTATTTTCTTATCCCTTGCACCTCTACCAAAGGGACCCGGTTTTTTTGCGGGGAACGTTGTCCACATTCCCGGCACCTCTAGGCTGGGCAATACCTTGGGAAGGAAGAAGTCCTGAAACCTGGTGAACCTGTGAGCCAGGCACATGGGGCTTAGGTCTCCAAATCTTTGGATCTCATGGATCACTGCCTCCGTTTAGGGCATTTTGTCCCGGTCCTGAAACCTGGGATGCCGGTTCTTGCCAATCACCCAGTCAGTCTCCTCATGGACCTTGGCTGGGGGAGGAGGAGGAATGTGCTTAGGTGTCCAGGGGTATCCGAGCAGGGATGGATAGTTGAAATAGGTAAAATATGATGGATTACATGGATCTATGTATGACATGAATGTAGAGCATTCAAAATAGACATTGGCCATCTGCATTTGGGAGCAGAGTCCTCTTAACCTGGTCATGCCAAAATCATGGGGGACATACAAATTAGGAATCTTAGGCGATGATCTGGAGGAGGAGGCAGTGATCACGCAGAGGACTTAGCGCTAGAGTGGTTTACCAGTTAATTCAGATATTTTCAGTATTCTGGCAGCTAGTGAGACTCAGCTGATGCCTATCATCTGAATATTGATTGCCCTGTCTCTGGAGAGCAAGGTGTGTCTGAGGGTCCAGGGATCTGGGAGGGGTGGGAACATTGCATGAGGCTCAGAGCAGTTTTGGGGGTTTGTGGTCCTCTACTTCCTTCCCCCTCTAGCCTTACCCTCCACATCTGGGTGTTTCATGAGCAGCAAGATGCCATAGCGTAGGGTCATGCTGAAGGTCTCAGTGCCTGCGAGGAAGAGGTTCAGCATGATCAGCACCAGGTTCTTCATGCAGAATGCCGTGTTTGGGTTCTTCTGCTCCTGCAGGGGGAGAGAGCTTTAGGCTGAGCTTAGTCCCCATGCCATTGGTACACTTCTGGGGCTTTTCCTATGGACCTACCTCTCTTAGATCCAGATCAAGGGTGGGAAAGAGACCCTAGATCCTCCAGGCTCTCTCCAGTTTTCAGCCTTTGCCCCAGCTGCTGGATCTGCCCAAAATGCTCATATTCTTGGCCTGGCT